CCAGAGTGTTTGGGATGCGCTTCTCTCCCTCTAAATGCAAGTTGTTGCTTCAGGACTGGTCTGCGTCAACACCTGAACTAAGCATAGGCAATAAAGTAGTCGAACGCGTCGACAACTTCACTTATCTTGGAAGTCTGATCAGCCCCAATGGGTTGGTGTCTGACGAAATCTCAGCACGGATTCGAAAAGCTCGTTTGGCTTTTGCCAACCTACGTCATCTATGGCGCAGGCGAGATATCCGTCTATCAACTAAGGGACGAGTATAATGCGCGGCAGTTCGTTCCGTTCTACTATACGGCTGCGAAACATGGCCTTTAAGAGTAGAAGATACTCGTAAGTTACTAGTATTTGACCACAGATGCCTTAGAAATATTGCTGGTATCTGCTGGGATCACCAGGTAAGTAATAGTGAGGTTAGACACAGGGTATTAGGGAATGATGGTAAATAAGTTGATGAGGTTGTGAATCGTGATCGACTGAGATGGTTGGGCCACGTGTTATGTATGCCTGAACACCGATTACCTCGACGTGTAATGCTAACCGGTGTTGGGGATGGTTGAGAGAAAATTAGGGGCGGCCAAACCAAAACGTGGCATCAGTGCTTGAAGTCACTAACTTCTAGTCTGAGCCATGTTGGTAGATGCAGACTACCTGGTTGGGGTCCGCGTGACTATCGTAACCAATGGTTGGAGACTCATGGTAACATGGCTCAGAATCGATCACAATGGCGTCGGTGTATACACTCTTTGTCTTCCTTTAAACTATGAGATTAGAATCGCTTTGTATCTTTCTTTCTACGAACTAATTCTTTCTTCCTGTACTATCTCCTTATATGCAATCTTTCTTTTATATACTACTACTCTTGATGTGACTACTTCTATGAATCCGGTGTTCATCTTGCTGTGCTAATGAGGTTGATTTGTCGATTCCCTGGCTGGGGTCCGAGAGACGGTGTAACACTGTGGCTAGAGACGTTATTAGATATGGCTCAGAATAGAAGTCAGTGGCGATTCTGCTGTAACCTTCTTTTACTTTCTTCGTAAAAAGGGGTTGCTTCTTCCTTAACTGAAAGATTTCTCCCGATTGTGCCTATTCGTTTCCCCCATTTTTGTTCTTTTTTTAATATAGATATTCCCTACGTTCCTTACCTTTCTTTTTCCCTTCTCTTTAAATTCTCATTGTTTTGTGTGGCGCATATATATTTGGTGCCCCGCTGTACCAATATTTATGTGTTTAAATAATACTAATAATGGCAACTTGGACCGATGCATATATGTGCCTGGTCCTACGTCCTTCCAGTGACTGACTGGTATTTGTTGTCAAAGGTTTGATTGATAAAATATTGTTTTGGATAAAGTTGTGGATGAGTGCTCAAAATCTTTAGTTAATGAATATTCTATTGCTTTCTTATGCAATCCGAGGGTAAAACTACTATTATTATAAAAAAACTACGTCTTTGAATCCTAATACAGTTATCATGCGCAACATTATATATATATATATATATATATATATATATGTACTTACGCCTGTTACTCCCAATGGAGCATAGGCCGCCGACCAGCATTCTCCAACCCACTCTGTCCTGGGCCTTCTTTTCTAGTTCCATCCAATTCTTGTTCATTTTTCTCATGTCTATCTCCATTTCTCAGAGTAATGTGTTCTTTGGTCTTCCTCTCCTCCTTCAACCTTGAGGATTCCATGTGAGGGCTTGTCTTGTGACATAGTTCGGTGCTTTCCTCAATATGTGTCCTATACACTTCCAGAGCTTCTTCCTGATTTCCTCTTCCACTGGGATCTGATTTGTTTTCTCCCATAGTAGGTTGTTGTCAATAGTGTCCGGCCAACGGATCTGAAGTATTTTGCGTAGACAACTGTTAATAAACACCTGTATCTTCTGGTTGATGGATTTCGTGGTTTTTCGGGTTTCGGCCCCATACAGCAGAACTGTCTTACATTTGTATTGAAAATTCTGACTTTGGTGTTGGTTGCCAATTATTTTGAGTTCCGGATGTTCTTCAGTTGTAAATATGCTGCTCTTGCTTTGCCAATCCGTGCCTTCACATCTGCATCAGATCCACCGTGTTCCTCGATGATACTGCCCAAATATGTAAAGGTTTGTACATCTTCCAAATCTTCTCCGTCAATCGTGATTGGATTGTTGCATGCTATGTTGTATAGGAGAATCTTGCTTTTCCCTTTGTGTATATTGAGACCTGTTGCTGCTTCTACACTGGTTGTCTTCTCCTGCATTTGTTGTTGCGTATGCGATAGAAGAGCCAGATCATCTGCGGAGTCTAGATCATCCAATTGCATCTTAGATGTCCACTGTATCCCGTGCTTACCTTCAGATGTTGATGTCTTCATGATCCAGTCGATCAACAGGAGGAAGAGAACGGGTGGGAGTAAGCAACCTTGCCTGACACCGGTCTTTACTTCGAACGACTTTGTCAACTGTCCTCCATGAACGATTTTGCAGTTTAATCCATCGTAGGAATTCCGTATGATATTGAATATCTTCTGAGGCACGCCGTAGTGTCGAAGAAGCTTCCATATGTTGTTCTGTCCACCCTATCAAATGCTTTTTCGTAGTCAATGAAGTTGATATAGAGTGATGAATTCCATTCAATTTATTGTTCCACAATGATCCGTAGAGTTGTGATTCGGTCTGTGCACGATCTATCCTTACGGAATCCTGCCTGTTGGTTGCGAAGTCGTGTGTCTACGGAGTCCTTCATCCTGTTTAACAATACCCTGTTGAAGACTTTTCCTGGTATTGAGGAAAGAGTGATTCCCCTTTAATGCAGCATGACAATCGTGAACAACGACCGAAGGCTTTAGGTAAAATGGATTAAAATCGGACGCAGTTGCAAAAACAAGTTCTTTTTATCTTCTTTCACAGATCTATTACTTATTTTTCTTTTCTAAACTATACTCTATGCTTAATATCTCTTTTATTATAAACAACAATTACTATTATTATCATTATTTGACTACTTTGACTTTAACGCTGTTTACGTCTAACCAACTGTAAATTTGAAAGATTAAATCATTTATCAAGTAAAATCTCATTTCATTTTACTTTTAATTTAATATTTATGATAGTTACTTTTTGCTTAATGGGAGAATACTTATTTAAGTGTTGTATCTACACTCTAAAACAACAATGGTAATAACTACAATATGAAATCGAAATCGACATAGTTTATATATTTGGAAGTATTAGAGTCATACTATATGAAATTGAAGCTAATATATCCTTAATGTATATTAGCAAGACTGAACAAACCAATTCATAGGTCATCTTATCACATGAAAAATAATCATGCTTACTATGAATACTAGCGAATATGTCGGTTGCAACCATTTTGTAAACTTTTAATGATAAAAAATTGTAAGGCGGAGTGGAGACATTTCGATAAGGATGACGATACTACCGAGATACCACAACTCCGAATAGTAATTATTCAGTTTTCTAAATAATACCTTTTAATAATAAAAATGATTAACAATAAATTGTGGCTGAGACGTCTAGACACTTGAATCAACAAACAACATTTTAAATTTCACTTCGTCTAGTGAGATTAAGGGACCCAGATATTATGCTCACCCTTAAACATTATACACAATTTACAGCTTGTTATGTGTAACTAGAACTAAGGAGTGATACGATCATATGAATATTTGTGTAAAATAACAGTATCAACTAAAAGTATCAATAGAATGCTAATAACAATGTATATTTTGCAAACCAGTACATCAACGACCACGGAATATGTATACATTTATATAAATAAATAATTAGCATTTAGTAAGTAGAGCCTTGTATCATATCGAAGTATGTGTGGATGTAGATTAGTCCTGAAACATCATCTTAGGTTCATGTGACGACGGCCCCCAAATGCCCTGGTATGGCCGAGAGCGGGGAGGGTTCGCCCTCCCTCTCGAAATACTCTCACATGGCCACGCGTATACAGCCTCTGACAAGGAAGTCCTACTCACTGCCTTCTCGTGGCGGGGGTGTTCTTTACGAAAATGAGAGGACGAAAAGCGAACGTCCGGCGCTATAACCGGATCGCAATTCTATGGTGCACATGGGCTCCAGTATCCTGCGGGAACAAATGGCGTATGAACCAGCTTTTGGTCACCGGCTTCCATGGGACTGCATCTCCTCACGATGCTCCACTGCCTTGTGGACTAGACCCTTAGGTCAAAGGCTCGGGGTATGGCCCCCTAAGAAAACCACCTGCTTCGGTTTGGGCACCCGGGCAGTATCTCAGCCCACGCACTAAAATCATGATGAACTATTTGCTTATGGACCACGGGTGAACTCGAGGAAGCTATAAGAGGCTCAGAAGGAGCCGAAGATATTCCGTCCAATCACCGTTAGGAAGAATATTCTAGAATTCCTACGTGTAGCTTCCCGATTGGACAAGGCTAATAACCCCCTGTATGCGGATTGAAGGACTATAATGATGATTTTTGTTCTTACTAAAAACTATAAATACCTGACAATTTGTACCCCTAATTGACACTGTTTGGAATAACATTCCTTTCACTAGTCTTCTGTCTTTTCCTTGCAACTTGGAAGGGTTTTGGCGTTCTAGTGTTCAGTTATACGCGGTCTATCAAGTAATCAACCTTCTAGATATAACAGTTCACTAGATACGAAACATTTCAGAAATTATCACGCTTAACCACAAGTCACTTAAAGACCCCACATTTTTCATTAGTCTTCGTTTAAGAGGGCGAATATGCTCCTATATTTTAATTTCATCACAGAATCTCTATGCAGGGAAAAGATCCCATGGAGGTCAGAAGTCATCAATCGCACATCTTTCTACATGTCTACGATAGAGTTGAGGAGGAAAAATGACAATCTACAACGCAGACAATGTTTCAGCAGCTACGTCAACGCAGTAGTCAGTTTTGAACAAGTGAGTTATATTACTTGGAATATCTTTTCTTTGAGATTTTACCACAACAGCCTGTTAACTTACCCATAGAAAGCCAATACGGAACACGAAAACTGGCGGAAAGGACTTGATTTTTCAAATGAGGAAGAGATTGGGCATCGAATGGAAGAGCACCACACACCATGACGTAAAGAATAACACCTAAACTCTAAAATTGAATAAAGCAAGAGTTTACAAGTTAGGTTGGATTATGAAAGTATTTTGTAGAAAGCAACTCCTCATCTCACAAATCGTAAATTTTAGTTAAGAATAATCTGCTGTGATTATGAAACGAATAAATGAAGATAGAGCTAAAGAAAAGTAGCACATACTAAGGGAAGAATGGACAATTTGAAATAACTAGTTACAATAGTCCACGAACAATTAACAAGATGTTATTTATTTGTCGGCCATTCTAGTAATGAACAGCTTATTAACGCTCCATAGTTCGAATTATAACAGCACTACAACAGGTAAATTAATAAGAATAGCAAAGCTGTGTTTACGTGGTATAAGACTGTATGTTTACAGAAAACACTGTAAGATTGTGACACATCCATACATAAGAATGTGACTCAAGAGCAAAGTGTATTACATTATTTCATGTTATTGTCGGCCAACATTCTATTGGCATGTATACAGTCAAAATCGTGTTTATATCATAGATCGACAAGTAGCTCACCGCAATTCATTACCAAATTCATATTTTGTACGTAGCTTCGAGCTAAGTCTTTTGTGTGAGGGCTAATAATATTAACCAGCAGCCTAATCCGACGTAAATAGAGCAGGATATTGAAACCAAGTACTTAAACTATTGAGCCAATGCTCTACTTATGTCATCGGATCCTGGTCAAATATTGCACCATTTTCAGTTATTTGTTAGCAAGTGCCGAAATTCGACAATGTTACTGATATCACTTTCCTCAAACTAAGTTGTTGCCATTATAAGTATATCTCATATACTGACCAAACTGATGCAAAACTTTGTCACTCAGTCTGCTACTTTTATAACAAAATTATGTTCAGTCAGTTAATCATAATATTATTATTAATTCATTAGCAGGTACATGGTCGTGTACCTGGATTCACTCGAATTATGAGAGCTAATGACTACCGGGTTGTCCAAACCTAAGTAGGAGGAGCGTGGTTTGTACCTGATGGCTGAAAGTCAAACGCCTCAACCAACACTTCATAAGCAATGTAAAACCTGATACATATGTGTATCGGTTCAAGTTACAACACCACATCAGCACAGAAATCGAATTATCAAGATGAATACTAAAGTGGTAGAAATTTCAGTGAAAATTTAAAAACACTAGGGATAGAAAATGTGAGTCGAGAAGAACGAATGAATACGCATCTACGAACACAGCTTAGTCCGACAGGCAATTACCTCATGGACTGATGCTAAGTCTTGGTTTGGTCCCCACAAGCTTTCTCACAGTCTATTTCTACATCTAACCTTAACATTGTCTACTTAATGGTTTCGCCATGAAAACGAACCGATGTTCAAATACATTTAGCCTTTTGTCACAAAACCTTAATGATCTTTACAAGACATACAAAGTGTGCTTATAATCGACCATCAAACTACAAATGGATTATGTCCCGAGCGGGATAAAAAAACAATTATTGAAAATCGATATTTCAACAATAAACACAGACAACTGAGACCGTTGTTTTGTACTAGTTGGTACTATATATATATATATATATATATATATATATATTTCTCCGAGTTGATACATGAGATATTCAACAAAAAATGAACGCATGACTTTCTAATTCTTCAAAACCAAAAATATAAGGCTCATTGTAATCAACTTTTAATGACCTTATACGACTTGGATGTTAATCAGGTCAACCATTTTTGTTTCCGAATGCTTATTTCAGTTAAAATTTAAGTTAAAAAGACTATGAAATCTACGTCATTTCACGATTGCTTCCGCTCTGGTCATAACAAAACTATTTATTGTTAATTTCACCATTATTATTATACAGTGAAGACTGAATTTTAGAGGCTTAACTGAATCCTATTTAACTAAAATGCAAACAAAGTACAGATTCATATGACTGAAATAGGATTACTACTTGTTTTTCTTGATCAAAAGGTAATGAGATATTTAAATTACCAAACCATCTACGCACCCGATATAAATCTCATTAGACGAAGAGACAAAGCCTGACATAACTGTTATTAAATAAGCAACACCTACCCAGATATCTGCTTTCACTCCAATGTATGGTTCGCCTAAAAATATTTCTGGTGCAGCATACGGAGGACTACCACACCACGTAGTTAAAAGGTGATTAGGTGAGTTGAAATGTGTGCCGAAGCTAAAATCTAGAATAAAAATAGTTAAAAATCTGGACGTAAAAAACTAGAATAATTTGTGACAAACGTAAGAACGGAGTTTAAGTTTACTTGACTTTTTGTCCATTGAAATGAAGTTGTAGTGTATATAAGCAAATGATTCAATTCATTAAACTACACGCAAACTTCGCTCCACATTTAAACTGAACAAAGAAAACACTGAAAGACAATAAACTGGCGAATACCGTATGTATCATATTTAAAGATTCTTCTTTAATAGAGTAAAATTGTTACTTCTATGAATAATGTTTTGTTCATTGATTTAGATTCTAAAATTTCGTCTAACATTTTCTAAGTTGATTATACGCGTACCTAATAAGTTTAATCTTCTTATAAAACAATTTTCTGATCACATATCTAGTGGATACATAGTAAACATTTGTCTGAATTATATCCTACATTTTAATTCCAGGTGAATGAATTTATTTGATTTTTTACTAAACTCTAAACATTAATTTTACATTCCAACGAGATCGTACACCACGAGTCACAGCTTAAAATGAAATGGAATTCCCATTCAAATTAAAATTAATGTAACTTAGTAATTATATATATATATATATATATATATATATATATATATATATATTCGTACACTGGGCTTTAAAACAGGATGTATGCATGTCTGCTGGGCATTTTGTCTTCAAAAATGGAAACGTTAATTAGTTATTAAGACCAAAGAGGAATTCGGACTCGTAAAAAAATGCTAGAAAGCTAATCACTGAAGCCATAATTTTCCAGTTAATGAAAGAACTTTTATCTTATCATTTTCACGTAATTCTGTGATGCCTAATTGTGTTGATTGATAAACGCGATTTTGTTTAGTGTTTTTCTGTATACAGAAAAACACAAACGCATTAGCAACTTTCAACGTATATGGGGAAGGAAACATTTTATGGAAACTACCGTAAAAAGTGGCTTTTAATGACAGATCACGTTCTAAGTAACTCAGTTAAATCAATTAGGATATTATTCTATTTGGCGCTATGGCAACTAAATCAATACAAACAATTTGTTTTGAAATACTAAGCGGTTAGTACTTTAAAGCATTTATTGAATATGAAAATTCGTCAAAAAATTTCGGCTTGCCTCAATGTTACATGAAGATTTTATTTGAGTTTAAAGTGAATTTCCACCAACTAAATTGTTCTAATTAGGACATATCTACCGTCTGACGATCCATAATATTTTTGACAACAACGGAAACTTTTAAAAGAATCTAAAACTATAACAGGTTCTTCCCTGACTTATATTATGAGCTATGACTAGTAACGTTGAAATCCAATAAGTTACGAAATTTCCAGAACTCCAACTACAGAGGTGCGGTGGAACGAGAAATGCTAGTCCTATACAATGTCCTTTCATATAACAGTGCCATATCATAAACTGACCACCTCTCCGATTTCTCGACTAGTGCCGACGTCGGAAAATGATGAACGATGTGGAAGCTGCTGAGATGACATTTGTAAAACATATCTGAGCTATTGAGGGTTATATAGTATGTCTAATAAGGATCAGTCATCATTAGAATAATGCAATGATGAAGTGTTTGACTCAGATGTGAATTTACATATGCGAAGAATCCGTATCACCGAAGTTCCAGATATGCACAGCTTATGATGGCTAACAAGAACAAGACTCAAGCTAAGGTCTATATCCAAACCACCCAGTATTAAATAATAATCCATATAAAAAGGACCACTTCAGAATTTTATTGATTCTTATGGTTGAAGTTGAGCATTTGAACGGTGAAATACAAGCCATTTCTATGTGCATGCTTAACGTATTTACTAGATCTCTATTAACAACATACAGATCCCATTATTATACCAACAATCACCGTCGATAATTCGCACGTAAGTGGAAACAAAGATTACAAAAGTTCAATTTTCACGTGGACTACCGGATAAGTATTAATCAGATGACAGTCTGAATAAAAAAAGACCACAACAACAATAATCTTAAAATATAATTTATGGTTTATAAATAACTTGTTGGGAATATTCATTAAAGAGACCATGTCCTTTGCGTCGCTAGAGCGAAGCAGAAGAACTTAGGGTTGATTGGATTATCTTTTTTTCTACAATGTTAGTACCTTGTTGATAACAAATTTGGGATGTCTAAAATACGGTTCATCATTTCTGATTATGAATGCTCATGAATGGTCTATGGTGATTCGACAAAGGTTGCATGACAGTCGTTTGTAGACTGAAGTTGAATTTATCATCGGTCGTGATATCCTATCTAGCCTATCAAGGTGAGAAACAGAGCAGTTTTAGTGTCATGACTAATGAAATTCATGAACAAAAACCTGCTCATTTAGCACATCACCGATTCGCCATGTCCTGTAACTCCGGATCTCAACAGACTGTTACTGTCTGAAAAATATCTCAGAACTACCGTTACTTTTTCTACATTTTGTGGAGCCTTGTGTTTATATTCATGCCACTGCATTTAAGTTAGTTCATTTCATAATTACATACCCACAGCTTTTTGTTGGTCATTATACTTCAGATTTGCACTTTGATCTTCTAAATTTCGAAGTAGACATTATTTTAGGACACAAAAAATACGATCTAAAAATATGAAAATGACGCACTGTGAGGATGACAAGTGTTGTGTAAGAAATGAAAAAGTACATTTGAAGGTCATATTGTTCTTTATCAAGACCCATCTTATTTCTTCATACCCAACCAAAATTAAAACTACCGACCTGTCAGACCGCCTGCACAGAAGTGTTTTTAACAGACAGAAAATAGAACTGTACACTTTACTAAACTTCCATAGTCACTAATATAAATATCTACTTAGTACAATCATATAAAAACTGACAACAATACTTTGAAACGTAATTCCTGATTTATGTTTTCATGTATGTTGGGAATATATTATGTGATAAAAATTTACTAACCACTATACCACATTATTTAGTGCTTTCAGACAGTCAACCTAGAACCTGTACGTATGTACAGGTTGTAAAGATTAATCTTTAAGACGTCAAGCAAAGTCAGTGGTGCCGGATAAATAGCTTCAACTTTTAAGAATAAACACAGTTTACAACAAATCAACATTGCACCAATTAGCCAAAAATCGAATGATTATTAATTAGTATACCATATCTTAAGATACATAAACAACTCCAGAAACTGCGCCAAAATTTCATAAAACCACCAACATAGTTGGCAATATTTACCCGCTAATTTGATATTCATTTCTGAATCTAGCAATATGTTTTCAGCCTTTAGATCTCGATGTACAATACCGCAAGAGTGAGTGTAATCGACAGCCGAAAGTACATCCAAAAATTTGATCCGAGCATCAACCTCAGAAAATCTTCCATTTGTGGCTATGTAGTCTAAAAAGAACACAATATTCAGACTTAAAACAAGATGAGCATGCAAATCGGAGCTATTGGTGATAGTAGACTCTTTAGTAATAAGAGAATTATCGCTACCTCACCGGCTACAATCACAGAAATCGGAGTATTGATGAACTGCCATATAGCCTAAGGACGATCAACAAAGCAAAAGTGTATACCTATTAGGAAAAACAAAATCTAAACATGAGTATTTAGTAATAAGACAAGAGTATGGCCGTTATTTGAAGCAAAACAATGAACTCAATAGCACCATCAGTATTAACATATTAGTTAAAGCCATGTGAGGGCTAGACATAATTACTTCATTATTCCTCTTTCCTCGTGCAGGAGCATAGACCGCTCACCAGTACTCACCATCCAGCTCTGTCCTCCACAATCTTATCCACTTGTTCCCAGTTGCTATTCATCCTTCTCATACCTGCTTACAACGTGCGGTACACTGTGTTGTTCGGACTCCCTACTTTCCGTTTCCCTTCACCATTCCAAGTTAGTGCTTGCTTCGTGATGCAGTTTGGTGATTTCCGTAATGTATGTCCTATCCACTCCCAAAGTCTTTTCCTCATTTCCTCTTCAGCTGGAAGCTGGTTTGTTCTCTCCCACAGTAGGCTGTTGCTGATGGTATCCGACCAACGGACATTGAGTGTCTTACATAGACAACTGTTCATAAATAATTGTACCATTTTGGTGTTGGTTGTAATAGTTCTCGAAGTTTCAGCTCGGTACAGTAGAACTATCTTAACGTTCATATTGAATATTGTCACTTTGATATTGGTCAGGAGACAGTTGTTTTGAGTTCCATATGTTGTAGAATTGTAGGAATGTTGTCCTGGCTTTGCCGATCCTGATACCGATAGTGGCGTTTTGCATCTGTAGTTTTTACATTTGCTCAGATCTCCTTTCTTTGATGTCTTGGTGAGGTGTCCTTCTTTCCAGTTTGTCTGTGGCACTTGTTCCTCCTTTCTCAGGTCCCACTGCTCTCCCACTCTTGATTTGTCTGATGGTCACAACTGATTTCTCCGTTCGTTGGTGAAGGACATCTATAGGAAGGTCTGCGTGTGATGCTTCGATGTCTGGTGAATTCAATGGAGCTGGCCTATTCAAGAGTTGCTCAAAGTGTGATTGTCTTGTCTTCTTTGTCCTTGACCTGTCTCTCTGGTTTACTATAATTGCCTACCAGTTTCTTCGTCGTGTCATATAGTTGTCGTATATTTGCTTCTGTTGCAGCTTTTTCCACAGTCGTTGCTAGGTCTTCTACATACTTCTGCTTGTCAGCTCTAATGCTCTTCTACTCTATTCCTAGCGGCCTTTCATTTCTTTCCACTGATAAACATATGTCTAAGTTTCTTTCTCTACAGTTTTCCTATGGAATAAACTCCAATAATTCAACATTGTTGCTGGCACAGTTGGTCAGAGTGAACCCCTCTAAACATAACATTTTTAGCTGAGAATATATTAATTTAGCTTCTTATAACGTATCGACACTAGTTAATAAATCGTCAACCGTAGAACATTTCTGTTTGTATAATACATTCGTGAAACCTAGCCTCGTTATCTAAGATAGTGCATTGTAGAGCAAACGTTGCGCAACTTGGTGAGATCGCACCAAACTAATGTACTTCATCCTATAAGTCTTATATTTGCTTCTGTTGCAACTTTTTCCACCGTCGTTGCTAGGTCTTCTTCACTTGCTTGTTTGCTTTGGTGTATTCAGCTTGTTCCTTGAATTTCTCTGTTCTTGTTCTTCCTTTCTTGAGTCCAAAACAGGGTTTCCGTAGAGATGCACTCCTTCTGATGATGCTTCTTGCGACCCAGAGCCTCCTGACACGTTAAAGTTAGTGTTTCTCTCATCCATCTCAAGTTGTTCCCCATAGTAATTTCATCTTCTTTGAGTAGATCTTATAAGAATTGAGACCTGTTGTTGCTATTGCTCGTTATTACTCATACTTATACTCCAAACTAAGTGGTTTATAACCTTTTACTAAATGTGGTATTTTATCAAATCTAGCATTCAGTACTGAGCTATCGTACTCCCACTCAACTGTTTTCAGTCTACACGACGCTTCTTCGCTTTGCTAGAAATACTTTGATGTAGACAGCTTGTGCGACGTATTTCTTGACACAATGTGGCTGAAAGCTAAGCATACCAAACTGTATGCGGGAGATGAGTTAAAAGTCAATTAGTCATCGCAGTGAATTTCGGCAGAAATCGAGTGATTAAAATATACCTGATAATACCTTACAATTGATTATTTCCATTCAATAAACCAAAGGAAATACGACACGTAAGATAGTAAGACAATGAGACGTCATAATAAGTAGTCTCTACTTTCAATTTTATTATTTGATGTTAAACCACACAGTCAAAAGATCAGATTCTAACCAAACATAACTATTTGCGACATTATATCATATCCAATGCAACCAAACTACTAGGGCTATGCGCACTAAAATAATGTCTCAAAAATTTATGTGGTTTCCAGCATTTTATTTACACTAATTTTAAAATATCCCGGAAGTTTTTTAGTTACTAACAATAAGTTTGCCTTATTACTTGGCATCAAGTAAGCATGCATACCCGTAACAGCAAAAAAATTCCACTAGACAAGGTTGTAAACATTTTGGTCAACTCACTCATGCTTACTTGGTGCCAAGTAATATGGCAAACTTATTGTTAGTAACTAAAGAATCGTTTGCAATGGTGCAGGTGCATACATCTTTTGTGTTCTCCCAAATTCCAATCTTCTGAACTCTTCATGTCCCTTTTTTCCTCTTTCCAAATTTATTTCACTAGATTATACTCCTTGAATAACATCTTCAAACCCTAACGTTTCCGATTACTGATTATACTCTTACTACCTCTATCACTACGGGATGTGAATCGACAACTGAATCTCTGTGCTAATGTGGTATGGCAACTCGAACTGATGTACGTACGTACGAAGTTCCACGTTGTTACTGACTGACTGACTGATTGGAATTTTTGTCATCAGAAACCAGTATCATGAAGATGGACCACTGAGGTTTGAGTGAAACAATACTATGAAGTATATATGTTAAAGAATATTAATATTGCTGGTTAAATAATTACCGTTCTCAGTTCCCTAGTGAGATTTATAGGACTTATTTGTCACCTAGCATTTAATTACTGATAAACACAGACCACTGACATGGAAACACTGAAATGACTATCATAATTACAAACTTTAAAAACATGACGAGGAGTTGAGATGTACAAAGGCACTTACCAAATAGCTCGCCATTTGAAACATACTCCATTACCATACAGAGTAGTCGCTGAGTTTCCATAACCTGGAACTTATCACTACAAAAAATGTGTTTACCTGATAAAGTTTTACGATATTTGAATGGTGAAGCTCCTTTAAAATATCAGATTCTCTGTATATTTTTTTAAGATTTTCAGGACTTAGACGGGATTTGTCAACGATTTTTATTGCAACCTACGAAGTCAAAAGAGAGGGAACTAACATAAATTACGAATATTCCAGTTATGGTGTGCTTGGCGAGCTTGACTGACGAGAATATCCCTTTCCCAATGGTTCTTTCAATAACGTACGTACCCAACTTTGGTTTTGATGTATCTTGGTACTGGCCAGGGAGATTGGTAGTTGAGGCACCATCTATGCTTGGAGCCAGCTCAGTGATATCCGATTCCATATTAAGACGGTTAGTAACTTTTCTCGTACTACAACCAGGTGCACCACATACACAAAAGTTCCCCGAATCCTTATCCTGACAATAAATGGGTGATGTTTCGGATGCTAGAGAACACTTAGCAGCACAGGATTGTCCATCAGTCACTCCTTCTAGGCCAATACGGCCATGTCTGCATGCGTTCATTTATCCTGCAGATGACTTAGCCTTGAAATTTGTGCATAAAAATTATAATCCGACGTAATTGAAATAGGAACAATCATCTTATTTCTTTAACCCATAAATTTGTGGAATAGCGACCAAAACAAACACAAAGTATGCAGCCGATGTACGACAGCAGTTAAGGATTAATGAAATAGGAAGTTAAATTTGTACCTGATAGAATGGTTTAGGAGATAAAGCGTAAAATATCTCAACTAGACAATTAAGAATTAACGCCAACAGAGAAATTAAAATGAGTGGTCCAGTTTAACTGTAAACGAATACGAAATAACCATAATGTTACTGACTACACGTTGCCAAACAACAGCCGAGACGATCCAGAATTATGATTGGTAAAAATAATAATATTTCAGAAAAAGAATAACTAGTAGAGCCGTATGACAGAAATAATAGACATTAATTTGGGTTTCAAGTGACAAAGACTAACGACGAAGCAGAACAACCCCCCCCCCACTAGACTCAATAAGACCGCCAGATCTTTGAGATTTAGAGCACAAATTTCATTGAATGATTTAAACAAACATCAAAGAGTTCTGTGACGAGTCACGTGTCCAGATAATTCATTGTATCTGGTTTTTATACATTTTATCGTTTACTAATTAAATGATCACTGCATATTAAAGTGAAATTTTCACTAGTGACTCCATTACAAGTGTTTGAATAATTCATGGTCGTCTGTTATGGAGATTTCACTGAAGCTTAACCCAATATGGATGACAAGAATAACATGCATATCAAACGATGGGACCCTAAATTCACATATTTAACGACTAAAACAGTTCTGTATTCAGGGTTTGTTTATCGTACAGAAATTATCGGAAAGTACTTACTTACACCCATTACTCTTATTGGAGCATAGGCCGCCGACCAGCATTCTCCAACCCACTCTGTCCTGGGCCTTCCTTTCCAGTTCTGTCCAATTTTTGTTCATTTTTCTCATGTCTGTCCCCATTTCTCGACGTAATGTATTCTCTGGTCTTCTTTACTCCTCCTTTGGACTTGAGGATTCCATGTGAGGGCTTGCCTTGTGACACAGTTCGGTGCTTTCCGCAATGTGTGTCCTATCCACTGCCAGAACTTCTTCCTGATTTCTTCGTTTGCTGTGACCTGGTTTGTTATCTCCCATAGTAGGTTGTTGCTGATAGTGTCTGGTCAACGGATCCGTATTATTTTGCGTAGAAAGCTGTTGATAAGCAATTGTATCTTCTGGATGATGGTTTTCGTAGTTCTCCAGATTTCCACCCCACACGGTAGAATTTTTTTTACATTTGTATTGAAAAAATGGTGTCGGTTGCCAATTGTTTTGAGTTCCAGATGTTCTTCAGTTGTAAATGTGCTGCTCTTGCTTCGCCGAACCGCCATTTCACATCTGCACCTGATGCTGCTCAGATATGCTAAGGCTTTTACATGTTCCAAATCTTCTCCATCAAGTGTGTTTCGATTGGTACATGCTGTGTTGTATCGAAGAATCTTGCTTTTCCCTTTGTGTATATTGAGACCCTGCTTCGCTTTGGTCACCCGGACAGTATCCAAGCCCTCACACAAATCAAATGAGATTCGTGGGACGCATATGCATCTAATTCCCCCTTGTACTGATATTTATGTGTTCATATAAAATATAAATAAATAAATAGTACATTGAGACCTACTGATGCTGAGGCTGCTGCTACACTGGTTGTCCTCTCCTTCATTTGTTGTTGCGCGTGCGATAAAAGGGCCAGATCATCTGCGAAGTCTAGATCGTCCAGCCGCATTCTAGCTACCTACTCTATCCCATTCCCGACCTCCCCCCAGATGTTGATGTCATCATCATCCAGTCGATCACCAGGAGAAAGAGAAAGATTGAGAGTAAGCAACTTTGGCTGACACCGGTCTTTACTTAGAAGGAGTTTTTCAACTGTCCTCCATGAACGATTTTGCAGTTTAATCCACCACAGGAATTCCGTATGACATTAACTATCCTCTGAGGCACTCCGTAGTGTCGAAGAAGCCTCCATAATGTTGTCCTGTCCACGCCATCAAATGCTTTTTCGTAGTCAATGAAGTTGATATAGAATGATGAATTAGATTTAATTGATTGTTCCTCAATGATCCATAGAGTAGCGATTTGATTTGTACACGATGGATCCTTACGGAATCCTGCCTGTCGGTTTCGAAGTTGGGCGTCTATGGAGTCCTTCATTTCGTTTAACAAAACCCTGTTGAAGACTTTTCCTGGTATTGAGAGAAGAGTGATTCCTCTGTAGTTATCACAGTTGCTGAGATCACCTTTCTTTGGTATATTGATCAGAAGTTCTTTCCAGTCTCTTAGTACTTGGTTTTCATCCCATATCTTGCTGAAGAGAATGTGAAGTAGTCTTGCAGCTACTGCTACATTTGCTTCCAGTGTCTCTGCTGGAGTGTTGTCTGGGCCTGCTGCTTTTCCGCTCTTGATTTGTCTGATGGCCGTGGTTTCTGCTTCGATGTTGGGTGGGTTCAGTGAAGCTGGTCGATTCAAGAGTTTTTTGAAGTTTACTAACAACCTGTTTCGCTGTCCTTCGATGTTGGTGATTACTTTGCCCTCCTTGATTTTCACTGGCCGTTCTGGTTTGTGATAATTTCCAGCAAGTTTCTTTGTTGTGTCATAGAATTGTCTCATGCTTCCTTCTCTTGAAAGGCCTGGAATCTATTGCTGAGGGCTATCCTGAATTTGTTGAGTTTGTCAGTATCCCGAAGAAAGACCGTATTAAACTTTTGTGCTGTTGTCCGGTGTTTTTTGAGTTTCAATTTCATCTGAGCGACCAGCAAGTGATGGTCGATTCGGTTCTGCGTATTTTTATCCGGGGAAGTCCATGTGGTTTTGTGTATTCGTTTATGTGGGAATATAGTGCCGCCTATGACCAGTTTATTGATGGCGCATAGGCTCATAATTCTCTCACCATTTTCTTTCCTTTCTCCCAGCCCATGTCGTCCAATGATGTCTTCATATCCGGTGTTGTCCATATCAACTTTGGCATTTAGGTCTCCCATCAGAATGGTGAAGTCCTTTGTTGGGCACTTCTCGACGATTGACTGCAGCCTATCGTAGAATTGATCATTAGCGTCTTCATTGTAGTCGTTGGTAGGCAGGTAGCATTGGATGATGTTGTCTGTAATGCCCTTATTCTTTGTGTTGAAGGAGGCTCTGATGATTCTTGGTCCATGAGATTCCCATCCTATAAGTGCATTTTGTGCTTGTTTGGACAGCATAAATGCAACTCCTTGTGTATGTGGGGCAGTATCTTCTTCATGTCCGGAGTATAACAGCAGCTTCCCTAAAGCTAGTCGTTGTTGTTTCACTGATCCCAAGCACCTCCAGGTTGTATCTCTTCATTTGTGCAGCAATTTGGAAGACTCCTCCGGTCTTCCACATTGTATGAGCATTCCAATGTTCTGAAACGCCAAACACTTAACATCACCGTTAGTGAGTTCCGACGAGATACAGCCCACCAAATGCTACGTCTCAAACTTGTTCTTCCTTTTATTGTTTTGCATATATTTTCACATATATATCTAGTGTTTTAGACCTTCTTCTTCGCAAATTTACAGATTTCATTATTTTGTATCCAAAGACGTTGATAGTTTTAAGAAAAAATACACTGACGCCCCCAGCCTGCACTAATGCCACTCTAGACGAATGTCAGCAAAGTTTTGTTTTGCTGTCCAGAAGCTAATCTCCACAAGTGCGGCGTGTGCAGTTCCTACTTTCGCCTAAACCAATACCACACGAGTTCGGTGAAAATCGTCCTCTTATACCTAATACTTATACACTAAACCAACGGAATAGTGCCCGAAAATGTTACATATTGCAATTCTCAACATAACAGCAAGTTCTGAGGACGTTGTCAGAAGTTCAGCCAATAGTTCCACACAAACATTCTTGAAGATAGTAAATTTTCATAGGACCATATTTGTCACTATAGATGTCGATCCACCAACGACGGAAGAAATCAGAATGGCCATCAGACAAATCAAGAGCGGGAAAGAAGCAGGACGCGACAATATATCAGCTGAAGCACTAAAGTCAGACATTGAAGTAACTACAAACATGCTTCATCTTCTATTCAAGAAGATTTGAGAGGAGGAACAAGTGCCGATGGATTGGAATGAAGGACACCTCATCAAGATTCCAAAGAAAGGAGACCTGAGCAAGTGTGAAAACAACAGAGGCATTACACCACTGTCAATACCAGGAAAAGTCTTTAACAGAGTGTTGCTGAACCGGATGGAAGACATAGCAGACGCTCAACTTTGAGATCAACAAGCTGGATTCCGTAAGGACTGGTCGTGCACAGACCAAATTGCAACACTACGGATCACAATCAATTGAGTGGAACTCGTCACTGTACGTCAACTTCATTGATTATGATAAGGTATTTGACAGTGTCCAAAGTCAGAATTTTCAATACAAATGTCAAGACAGTTCTACTGTATGGGGCCGAAACCTGGAAAACTACGAAATCCATCGTCCAAAAGATACAGGTGTTTATTAACAGTTGTCTACGCAAAATACTTCAGATCCGTTGGCCGGACACTATTAGCAACAACCTACTATGGGAGAGAACAAATCAGATCCCAGTGGAAGAGGAAATCAGGAAGAAGCTCTGGAAGTGGATAGGACACATATTGAGGAAAGCACCGAACTGTGTCACAAGACAAGCCCTCATATGGAATCCTCAAGGTTGAAGGAGGAGAGGAAGACCAAAGAACACATTACGCCGAGAAATGGAGATAGATATGAGAAAAATGAACAAGAATTGGATGGAACTAGAAAAGAAGGCCCAGGACAGAGTGGGTTGGAGAATGCTGGTCGGCGGCCTATGCTCCATTGGGAGTAACAGGCGTAAGTCAGTAAGTAATTTGACAGTGTAGATAGGAGAACGTTATGGAAACTTCTTCGACACTATGGAGTTCCTGAGAAGATTGTCAATATTATCCGAAACTCATACAACGGACTACAGTGCAAAGTAGTGCATGGAGGACAGCTGACTGACGTATTCCAAGTAAGGACCGGAGTAAGACAAGGCTGTCTACTCTCCCTTCCTCTTTTTTCTGGTGGTCGACTGGATTATGAAGACCTCGACATCTGAGGGAAACACGGCATACAATGGACAGATCAGAACCAATTAGACGACTTGGACTTCGCAGATGACCTAGCCTTCCTATCCAATAAACACGAACAAATGCAGATAAAGACAGACAGCATAGCAGCAGTCTCTGCATCAGTAGGCCTCAAAATACACAGAGGGAAAACCAAAATCCTCAAACATAACACGGAGAACAGCAATCCAATCACTCTTGATGGCGAAACTCTGGAAGATGTGGAATCCTTCACATACCTGGGAAGCATCGTCGATAAACAAGGAGATTCAGATGCAGAGGTAAAGGCGAGGATCGGCAAAGCCAGGACAACATTCCTACAATTCTACAACATATGGAACTCAAAACAACTGTCTCCTGACCAATATCA